TAATTTTTTTTATTTTTTATATAATTTATTGAACAAAAAATATGGTAATAATTATATCTTAATCCGTACTTTAACAATATGGATTAAAAAACTCAAATATAAAATAAAATAAAATAATTTGACAGATGGTAATTTATAGGAAATATGGGGAATCTGTTATTACCTTTCAATCAGGAATTAACAACAAAAAGCAAAAATTGTCATTAGAATGGTATAGGCTCTTTTCCGTTCTCTCATGAATTGTGATTTTTGGTTTTTGCTTTTCGTTTTTTTCTTTCTTCTGCATTATTTTTTTGCTCTGTTCACTGACGTTTTCCTTTTATGAAAAGTTGAAAACGCGTTGTGGAAAAATGGTGAGAAAAGGGTGCATGTCCATTTCATGGTGCCGTTGTTATTGCAAATTGCCTTTGATGCAACATCTGCCTTTACTTTTTGGTAGCCATGGGTGCAGTATTTTTCTTGAATTAGAACAGTGTTAGAATCTGGAAATGTAGTGATTTGACCAAAAAGTCTTTCAATTCTTGAAAATATTTAAATATATTTATTAAATAAAATTTATTAAAATTTTTTTTAATGAATCCAAATTTAATATTTTATTAAAAATATTTTAATATTTTCATAATTCAAACTATGCATTTAAAACTAAAAAAAAAAAACCATTCTATAGTCTCTATCTCTTCGTCAGAGAAAACAGTAGACCAGTGACTTTTTCTTTGATGAAAAGTTGAAAACGAGTTTTGGAAAAGTGGTGAGAAAAGGGTCGATGTCCATTTCATAGTGCCGTTGTTATTGAAAAATTGCCTTTGATGCAACATCTGCCTTTACTTTTTGGTAGCCATGGAGTAGTATTTATCTTGAATTAAAACAGTGTTAGACTCTGGAACTATAATGATTTGACGAAAAAGTCTTTTTCAGTCCTCGAAATTATTTAAATATTTTTATTAAATAAAATTTATTAAAATTTTTTTTAATGAATCAAAATTTATTATTTTATTAAAAATATTTTAATATTTTCATAATTCAAACTATGGATTTGAACAAAAAAAACACGTATATTGTCTCTATCGCTTCGTCAGGGAAAACACTAGTAGTAGTCTATCTATCCCGCATTGATTGAGCAACTTTAATCCACTTAGCGCCTAAAAGTCTAGGTTAACTTTAGCGAGAAAAGTTTGTAAAATAATGGCAGTTCCTATCATGAATATGGAAGAAGGTTTCGAAGTCGCCCATGGCCATGTATAATTTGTGTACACATTCATAGCTTGTCTGGGGTTTTTATAAATGGGTTGATAGAAATGAAAAGAAAGAAATTTTGTTTAATGAAATGAGGCATTGGACGGAAATCTTCATTTAATTAGTGAAAATCTTTTGCTTTCCTTTCCCTTCTTTCCTATCCTTTTAACCAAAACATGTTAGCTAAAAGGCTGTTTGGAATAAAACAAATTGATATGAAAGAATGAACACATCCAAGATTCACAACCATTTGTGGGGTTGGCAAATGACAGTTGTTACGCCCAAAAATTAAAGGCTTAAGTATTGATAAGCTACTAAACTTTTACTAAATTCCTAATTGAGTTCTCAAAATTATAGTGCTCTCAAATAAGGTCCCTAAATCATTGAAATTCTCAAAGGCAAAAAGGATATATTTACCCCCCCTATTTATCCATCTTGTAATTGCAACAAATCAGGGAACTTCTGCCAGTCCAAGTCTTCTCTTCAGGATGACTTGCAAAGCCCTGAGGTGAATCCTTGGGTAGACACTCCGATACTTAAATTAGCAATGGTCTGATCTACCTTTAAGAATCATGAAAAAAGAAACTTTAGGTTGGTTTCAATTACTTTTTCAAGGTGGCTATGGGGGTATTTATAGGCCTTAATGAGACATCCATGTGGCCTGCTTAACGAGATAATCGAAATTTGACGTGTCCATGCAGGCAATGATCTCAAGGATAGAGGATCGAGTGCAAACATGTTTACTGTAGCTATTATGCGACTGCACAATCAAGAAGAACAAAACTTATGAGTTACTTCGATCATTAAGGAAATGTAGCAGTACATCCGAGGTTCTTAACCTCGGACCTATAGTTATTATTGAAATGAACTTCTATACCTTCTTTTTTTTTTTTTCTAAAATAAATCTCTTTTCATACTTTCAAATTGAATAAAATTAACCCTCCCACATTTTGGTTTAAATAAATTAACTAAAATTTAATAGATGACATATAATTATGTAATCATTCTACATTCTATCTTACCCCTTAAATATTCATTAAGCACTTGTTAATTTGACAATTTTGGTCCTTTTGTCCTTGATGACATGGCATTTCTTTACGACAAAAACCCACATATTGCCCTTTAACTTTTTGAGTGTGTGGAACTTTACCCCTTATCTTACAATGTATGATTTTATATCTTTTTGATATTCGACATTATGATTTTATACCCTCATGATATTTGAGTTTATGATGTTACACCCTCCTAAAGTTGTAAGGTGAGGGTTAAAGTTCCATACACTTGAATACCAAGAAGGTATAAAATCATATCAGAAGAGTATAAAATCATTTATTATAAAGTGAGGGGTAAAGTTCCATACACTTGAAAAGTTGAAGGGCAATCTGTGGGGCTTTGCTTTTCTTTACATAGTAAAGTCAGAATGGTTAACTCTTTCTTGGTAAACTTGACACCAAGAAAGAAAATAACATGTCATAAAGAAAAAGGCCCCAAGATTGTCCAATTAGCAAGAACTCAACAAATATTGAAAGAAAAAGACGAAATGATGACATACAATTATGTCATTTATTAAATTTGGTTAATTTATATCAATTAAATATAAATGGGTTAATTTCATTCAACCTAAAAGTGTAAGGAGAAATTTCTTTTAGCATGGGGTTCATTTCAAATAATCATTTAAAGTAGAGGGGTAAAAATAAAATTTTCACCATTTTCAAATTGGATAGAAACCATTTTATCCATTAAATTAGTTATTAGCAGCATTAACTCTAATTGATTATATATTCAAAATAGTGCGTACATTTTTTATTTTATCTTTCAATAACAAAACTTTTAATAACCTTAAAATGTTCCTTAAACTTAACAGACTTAAGGGTTTTCATTCAATTGGGATCTTATTTGAGAATTTTGATGAATTTGGGATCTTATTTAAGTGCAATAGAACTTTGAGATCTCAATTATGAATTTGGTGAAAATTTGGGACCATTCCTAACTTGAGCTTCAATTCCTTGCAATTTCAACATTCTACATAACCATCCCTAACTTGATCATCAACTTTAAGTATATTCAGTGAATTCTTTTCAAAACTTTTGCGTTTATACATTCAAAATAAAAAAGCTGTGGTTTATGATACCAAAAGCCAAATAGAAAATAGGTGTTAAAAGAGTGAAGTCAATGGTTAGGTTATGCCAAATAATAATGAGTTTCTTTTTATTTTTCTCTCTTTTTTTTCTTTTTTTTAATCGCTTTATAACATAAAGTTTTGTTTATTTTATACAAAATTTCATAAATTTTAGTATAAAAAATTAGAGTATGTAGGTTTTAAATTAAATTATTGAAAATAGAGATGAAATTGGAATTCTTGATTCATAACATACTTGTTTCCAAGAATTCTATATTTGCCTCCATGAATACAAGTTTTGGAAAAATTAATCATTTAGGTTTTTCGTTCGTTGTTTAGATAACAATATGCATTTCAATGATTGGATGGATTATTCGCAAAAGATGATTAGTTAGTGGCTGCCATAATTTGTGAGGGGATA